TATGTGCTGAATGATCATTTCAGGGTTTTATCCTTCCAGACATGTCTCTAGTACCGAAGTACACAACCTTAAAGCAAAGCCCGAGATCATTCACCATCACAGATAGTGGACTAGGGGTTGCATATGGACGACAGGTGCTGAGTAATCCGATAGTGAAGAAAAAAAAGCAGAAAAAACTGCCGACTGCCCTAAATAGAACCCCATTCCGATCCCAGTTTGTACGTGCTTAATTAACTGCATCTTCAACATTACGCCTTCATCCGCACACCTGATTCCCCGATGAGAACTCTACGACCGTTTAAGTGACAATTTTCATGCCTTTTCGTCCTGCAGCATCGTTTTTCACGAAAGGCGGGCCTTGAAGGCGGAGTCTGGAGGCGGAGTCACTGGAAAAAGGAGGCGTCACTGAACCTACATTGCGCTATAGCGCCCCTCCCTTACAATTTTTTGCCGCGAAACCGGTACGTCGCGGACCACACTACCCTCCCGAAGCCACATTTTCAAGTTCTGTACCTGATAGCGGACCGTGCCTCTAAAGGGATGGTAAATGGTTGGACCGGACGGGAGGCATTCCGGGATTTGAGACCTGGACGGTGCATGGGATATATGTTGGTTATTTGTCACTGCACCACAGTTCCTTCTTTTCCAAGAAACATGCTCTTGAGCTGAGGTGATGTAGTGGCAGTGGCGCGCTACCATGGGCACAGTCCAGAGATCAAACCCTCGCTCGGCTCCCGCCCAGGCCAAGCAAGCCTCTTGTCCTCCGGGGATGGTAAACTGGTACCAGATTCGTCTGGGAGGATAAGAACACTGACTTGTACATCGGCTGGCCCCCGCAATCTTGTATAGGCCACATCGCATTCAATAAGCCACTACGATTCTGAATGGAAGTAGAATGCGTGCCGCATCCCACAAAGGGATTGATCAACGGCGAAGAATCTATCCTTTTTTCTTATTCATGCTCTTGAGCGCTTAGGCAACTGTAGACATGTTCGCCGCGAATGACGAGTCGTCTCTGTGGGGCTAGGTTTGGCGCGCGGCGACCCATTTTCCATTGATTATTAACGCTGGCTTGCTTCAACAATTGGTGGCGAACGGGTTGACACCATGTCAAACGCAGTCCCCTTGAACTATCCTAGCATCCGCAACATGCAAGAGTGTAGCTTTACTGGAGCGGGGAGGCAGCTTCAACTAATTCGAAGACCACAGCTTATCGGAGGGTGCCAGGGTAAACAGAAAATTGAGTTCCGCGGTTGAGCAAAAAAAAAAAAAACAACATCCAAACCGATTTCAGCAGCTTTAGTTGATAGAGTTCCGCACTCTTCTACAAGCTCCACCCAGCACTTGCTTCTGTGTTAAGTCGTTCGCCCCCAGATTCCAATTGTCGCGGCGGTTCACAGAAAATGTCATCTTGCAGTTCCACAGAAACGACATCTTGCGGCGGTTCCACAGAAATATCATCTTGCAGTTCTACAGAAACGACATCTGGTTGAGAAATGACGTATTGTTGGCTGCTCAAAGGTTTTTCTGCAGTCGACTGAATCATAGGGAGGCGATGAAGTTGGCAATTGGCAGCGATTGAGTGAGCCGATGAATGAGTTTCGCCAAAAGCGCGCGGTCGCGTCGCGGCCTCTGTCACTGGGGCGTACTGCAAACGGTGCAGTGCATAATTGCAAACACTGGGATGTACACAGTGTGTTCAAGTTGGTTTATAAATCGTCCAGATAACTTAAAAACGTCCAGATTGGTCAA